TCGTTCAAAAACGGAGCCGCCCGCTCAGAAAAGACGGGAATCCCTTGGATACACCCGAAAGGACTATTGCGAAGGCCTTACGGCCAGTGCCGCCGATCCTGAGGTCGGAGAGGAGGGTGCGGAGCACGGGGAGGAAGATGAGGAGGGGGACAGGAGGAAGATGAGGATGAGGAGGAGTAGGAGCAGAGGGGGGGGGAATGAATAGGAGGAGAGTGAGGCGAGCAGGGTCGCATGTACAGGTGGAGGGGGGGGGCGCGAAGGAAGGGCAGTGGCGAGTAGAGCGTGGCGATCATGAGGAGGAAAAGGAGGAAAACAACAGCGAGGATGTTGACGATGTTGACGACAAAGCTGGTTGCCTATCAGGACCCTTCGGGGCCGTTCTGGGCCCTCCTTGGGCGTCATTCAGGCTTCGTTCGCTGTTTTGAAGCTAGGTTCGGCATCGTGGGCATCTGGGAGGCCACGAAGTGCAGACTTGGACGCTTCAGGGGCCAGGAGGGGCGTTCGCAAGCTCGTACCCCCCCCTCAAAAAAAAGGGGCCCCAGGAGAAGGGGAAAGATAGAGGGGGACAGCCAAATATCTCACGCGCCGTTTCACCCTCGGCAAGCGGGGTTTGGCGGATTTTCCCAACGCCGCGGGAGAAATCACAACGTCGCGAAAAAACACGCGCAGAGCGCCAGACCCCCCTTCTTCCTGAGCTGTTCTTCCAGCCGGATCCACATGCAGCGTTCCAGAGAGGGCCTTGCCTTAGAGGATCGAAGGAGTTACCGTGCTTTCCGCGGCGGAAGGCGGCGGAAAGGACGGTAATGCCTTCGATCCTCGAAGGCGAGGGAGGGGCGTCGTATCTGATTTGGGAACCCCCGAGGACTTCCCCGGGCCCCCCCCCCCTGGCGGGGAAGGGATGAAAGGGAAGGGGCTTCCTTCCACGTCTTTCTGGAATTTTGTGGAGCCGCGGGGTTCCCAGGACAGGCGTCGCATCTGGCCCGTGAATTCCCGGGACTTCCCTGGGACTTCCCCAGGACACCTCCCCCTGGCGGCGGGTCTCGCGGACTGGGGGGCCGTATTCATGTACGTGGTTGGGCGCGTACGTTGTTTGTGGACTCCCGAAAGAATTGGTCTTTGGAGGAGGTCCCAGGGTCCACAGCCCGTTTCCCTCCGATGGTCTCTCGCCTCCTTCCAAGGCCTCCCCAGTGGAGTCCGAGCAGATGGTGTCGGAGTCGGAGGGTCGCGCCGCATCTCCGATGCGTCGACGATGCGGCTCGATGCGGAGCCCGACTTCGACGTCGCCGACGAGTGGCCGGTGCAACGGCGATGCGACGCGATCCTCTGACCCCACTTGCTGGGGCCTTCTTTGGGGGAGGCCTCCCTTCCCTGGCTCCTCTCGGGGGTGTCCAAGCGTGGGGTCGGGACTCTAGGGGAAGATGATCGCGCTTCTCGAGTAGGGGATCGACTACAGAATTCATTTGCCTCAAAATTCGTTTTCTCGTCGAGCCCATGAAACAAGACGTAGAATGCTCGATATATCTATGGAGAATTTGACGTATGTTCCGCAGACTCGACGGAAAAGTAAATTCTTTACGCTTCGCGTATCCCCACCAGCCCATCTCACAGCAGCAACTCTCGCGAAGCATGCCGACAGTCGTGTTTTTCAGGCGTGTGTCCGCTTGGCCCCGCATATCTCCCCTGTTCCTCCTTCCTCCCGCCTCCTTGTACATCCTCCTTGTGGGGGGAGCGGGAGAAGGACGAGGCGGAGGAGGAGGGAGAGAAAGCGCTCCTCGTGATTTGAGTCGTTTGGGGTTTCTCGTCCTGGTGTGAGTCGTTCGGGCCCTTCTTCCTGGTGTGAGTCGTTCGGGCTCTTCGTGGTGTGAGTCGTTCGGGCTCTTCGTCCTGGTGTGAGTCGTTCGGGCTTCTCGTGGTGTGAGTTGTTCGGGCCCCTCATCCTGGTGTGAGTCGTTCGGGCCCCTCCTCCTGGTGTGACTCGTTCGGGCTCCTCGTGGTGTGAGTCGTTCGGGGCCCGCGTCGTGGTGTGAGTCGTTCGGGCTCCTCGTGGTGTGAGTCGTTCGGGCGCCTCGTCCTGGTGTGAGTCGTTCGGGCCCCTCCTTGTGGTGTGAGTCGTTCGGGCTCTTCGTGGTGTGAGTCGTTCGGGCCCCTCGTCCTGGTGTGAGTCGTTCGGGCTCCTCGTGGGGCCTCTTGGGGGCCTCTTGGAGCCTCTTGGGGCCTCTTGGGGGCCTCTTGGGGGCCTCTTGGGGGCCTCTTGGGGGCCTCTTGGGGCCTCTTGGGGCCTCTTGGGGGCCTCTTGGGGGCCTCTTGGGGGCCTCTTGGGGGCCTCTTGGGGCCTCGGGGGCCTCTTGGGGGCCTCTTGGGGGCCTCTTGGGGGCCTCTTGGGGCCGCTTGGGGGCCTCTGGGGGGCCTCTTGGAGGCCTCTTGGGAGCCTCCTGGGGGCCTCTTGGGGCCATCTTGGGGCCTCTTGCGACCTCCTCAGAAGCGCAAATGAGAGCTGCCCCCTGAGAAGGACAAAATGAGCCCAAAACCTTCGTAAAATAAATGATTTTGCTATGAGGGAAGATGAGCGCGGCCCCCTCAGGAGGCCAACATGGGGCCAAAACCTTCGTAAAATCAATGATTCTGGCTTCCAAGAAGAGCAGAGGGGCCAAACTGCGTCCCCCCGTCGGGGCCAGAATCCTCGTGAGGGTCGTCGTTTGTTGGCCCTCCCAGGAGTCGAAAAAGAACCCCTTGCGACCACTCGGCCCGCCCTCTCCAGGTCCAGGGGAGGGGGTAGGGGGAGGGGTAAACCCCTCCCCAAAGTGGAAGAAGGGGGGTTGAGGACAGAGCGGGCTCTCTAAACCACTCACGCCCAAGGGCTGGTGGGATTTTGGGGTACATCGACTCTGTAGTCGATCCCCCACTCGAGCTTCGCGCGTCGCGGCCTTGGCCAGAGCGGCTGCCATTCCTTCAAGGTGGGTTCGCCAGGGCGCGAAGACAGCCCCGCGTCTCGCATCGTGGGGCGCGACGCGCGAAGTCGGGCGACATGGAGCCAAGGGCGGCGAACAGACGGGGTCAGGCCCAAGGTCAGGAGGGGAACAAAAAAGCACAGACACAATTCATCGTTGATTCCAACGAAAGAAAACCCCAAAAAATATGGGAAACTATGGGGAATATGTCTATTTGTGTGTATTTACTTGTGTGTCCTGGGGCCCCTTCACAAGGGGGAGTAGATATCATGGCTGGGGCCACGAATTCTTCCAGATGTCATGGTCCCATCCTCTCCTTTCGACGCCTTCCCTGCCCCCCCCCCCGCCGTCCGCACACGTGCCTCGGGCCAGGATGTGCCGACCCCCTGCCTCCTTCTGGCCTCCCTCTTCGGCGCGCCCGATCCTCGGGGATCTCTGAGATCCGAGCGCCGCATATTTTTCACACCTGGCGCTTTCGGCATACTTCCGGGCCCCTGGACCCTCACAGATCGGTGCATCTTGAGAAGCGCCGCTGCACGATGGGGTCGAGAGCTCAGGTCGTGATTGTTCACGATGATCTTTTTTCGCGGCGTCGCATCTCAGAGATGAAGGGATTGAATGTTTTTGGGTGTTTGGCTGAGTTTGTCGGTCTTCGGGGCCGCCCGAGGCTATTTATCGAAGACGGCTACGGCGAATCACCACCGACCCCTGTCTTGTGCAATCGCCCATGTGGCCGAGCGTTGCGGCAAGAAGGAGCTCTGCCAAGCTGTCTGACCATGTGTTCCCCCAGCCGTTGTGGAAACCCTTCGGGGAACACTTGTGGGAAGATGGCGGGGAAGATCAGAAGGAGGAGGAGGCGGAGGAGGAGGAGGAGGTCGCATCTTGGGAGTCTCTGGGGCCCCCCTTGGGGTCTCATAGGAGCTTCCTGGGGGCCTCTTGGAGGCCTCCTTGGGCCTCTTGGATGCCTTTAAAGGGGGCTTCTTGGGGGGCCTCTTGGGCCGTCGAAGGGCGCTCCTGGCCCGTCTAACGCCGTCGGAAGCCGTCGTAGAGGCCTCTCTGAACCAGTCTGGGGCCCTCGTGGGGTGCTCCAGGGCCGTCTTGGATGCCATGTTGGGTGTCTTGGATGCCTTTTGGGCCGTCTCGGAGCCCCCTTGGGGCCATAGTGGGGCCTCTTGGGCCGTTCTGGGGCCATCGTGGAGGCCTCTGGGGCGATCTGGGGGCGATCTTGGGGGTCTATCGGGCCGTCTGTGGCCGTCGGAAGACCGAGCATAAGCCAATTGCAACATTTCTTCAAGTACATAAGGAGACTCACAAGTTTGGGCCTCTTCGGACTGTCCCTGGAGGTCCTCTTGGGGGCCTCTCGGGCCGTCTTGGATGCATCTTGGGGGCCTCTTTGGGAGTCTTCCGTCATCTTGGGGCCATCTTGGGCCGTTTGGGGGGCTTTCTTGGGCGGATTTGAAGGCATCCTGGACCCTGGACCATATTGGGCTGTCTTGGATGTCATCGTTGGGTTATCGTAACCGTCTTGAAGGCCCTTTTGGGGCCGTCTGGGAGGCTTCTTGGGCCACCATGTGCCCATCTTGGCCGAACTTGGAGGCATCTTGAACCCTCTGGGACCCTCTTGGAGGCCATCTTGGACCCTCCTGGGCGTTCTTGGAGGCTACCTGGGACCATCTTTGTCGAACTTGGAGGCCGTCTAGGGACTTCTTAGGCCGTCATGGGGTCAGCTTGGAGGCCTTTGGGGCCATCTTGGGACGATCTTGGGGAGCTCTTGGGCCGTCTAGGGGCGTCGGAAGGCCGAAAAGAAGGCTGAGGAGCATGTATGATTTCGCCCTATCGGGGCCCTCCTGGTAAACCTCTTGGAGGCCTCTTGGGCGGTCTTGTAGACCTCTTGGGGGTCTCTTGGACCGCATTGGTCCGTTTGTGGGACTTCATTGGCGGACTTGAACGCATCTTGGACCTTATTCCAGGCGGTGCCATCATTCCAGGCGACATCATTCCAGGCGGTGCCCGGAGATGGTCATGCGATGATTGCGTCTATCACGTATGCGCATTATGCCACAATGGGAAAAGGAGCCGCCATCCCGGTAGTACCCCCCCCAAGGCCATCAAGAAGGAAGGGGGATGGTAAACAGCTCTGGGGAGATTCGTTAGCAGAGGATGCTACCAGTAACACGTTGGACGAGAGCATCCTTGTGGCCATCGAGGACCGCATCTGCTCCAAGATGTTGAACATGTGGCCGAAACTGCTCCGCAAGGAGCTGGGAACCCTCCACTCCGAAATATCCAGCCTCAAGGGGGAGTTGAAGGCCACCAAAGCCCAGGCCGAAAAGGCTGCGGAGATGGCCAGCTCGGCTATGGAATCCGTGCGCTCCCTCTGGGCAGAAGTTGAGAGTCTTCGAAAGCTTGGTGCGCAGACCGACCCCGTCCAGCAGCGCTCGAATAACGCAGGCGCCAGGACCAGCCAGGTCATCGTCGGATGCTTCACCGAAGATACAGACCAGGATGACGTAATAGCTAAAATCGAGGAGTTCCTGAAGGTCGGCACTCGGAGATCCAAGGTGCAGGAGGTCTTCACTTTCGATGATCCTTGCCGCATCGGGGTGATCCAGTTCGTGTCGGAGGCCGCGAAGCGGGGCTTCTTCAAGAGCATCCGGAAGGCCTCGAGGGAGATCAACGGGGTAAAGCTCCGGTTCGCCGACAACCGTACCTTCCAGGAGCGGGGGCGAGACAAAGCCCTTTCCTATGTTAAGCAATACCTAGTAGATACTGCTGGGCGTGACGCTGAAGACATCCGTATTTGGTGGAAGACCGGGGTGGTGAAGGCCAAGGGCACGAAAGTGGCGTGGGTTACGAAGGACGCTACGGTGCACACCTCAGATGGTTGGGAAGATATGAAGACAGAAGTTCATGGATGGATCGAGGAGTGGTTTGAGGTTCGTGGAGGGCGGAGGGAGGAGGAGGACGAGTAGGGGATTGTCCGAAAAGGTCAGATGGAAAGTACCAGTACTAGCAGACCAGGCCGCAAGAAGATCTTCCTCGACGCCTCTATCTGCAACCATCTAGGTCCTGATCCCCTTTTCCCGTCCAGCTCTTCACCTTCCTCGTCCAGTTCCTCTTCCTGTTCTTCCTCCAGCTGTTCTTCCAGTTCCACCTCGTCTCAGCCTACGCCGGAGGTGCACGACGTTAGCGCGCCGTTCTCCGACAGGTTCTCGGGGGTGGTATGGAACGCAAGGTCATTGTATGCGAATGAGCTTTCGGATACGATTCGGTATGTGGATTCGTTTTTGGACCTCTATGATTTTGTTGGGACTACAGAGACCAGAGAAACTATTAAGCGGAAAGCTACTATCGGAGACTTCCTCCGGAACGACAGTTTGTACTTCAGCTCCTTCTTAGACCAACGATCGGGCGGCATTGCGCTACTCCTCAAGAAATCCTTCGTGGACAAGTTTGAGGAGAGGACTTGGGCAGTGCTGGATACGGGCCGGTTGGCCGTCCTACATCTACGTGGTACCCGAGGGGCGCTAAGCATATTTATCTCTTATTTCGACCCGAGCGATTCTGTAAGACAAATATTTTTGACCAAGTTGTTAGCATCGTATTTGCGGGCTGGTGTTCATAACCTTTTGATTGGAGATTGGAACTTTGTATCTTCTGCAGGCGACCGGTACAATAAGATGAATGGGCAGTGGAGCGTAGATCGTTCAGTTGCCGCGGAATGGGCGGCCAGTTTGGGAAGCAAAGGGGTATTGGAGTGGGAGCAGGAGAACTTCACATTCGAGAGCTCCTCGGTGATTTCACGGCTGGACCGGGTATATTCGGACATCCACCCGAGCAACCTCCTCGTCATGGACTCGTTCTGCTGCACTCTGGAGCTCCCCTGCGGTTTGTCCGACCACAGGCCTGTTGCTTTTGGTATCCGGCATCGCCTCAAAGGGCTGCGGAAGTCGTTTCCCTCTTGGGTTATCGGCGACCCTGCGTTCCGAGACAAGCTGGTCTCACGGGCCATGCCTTGCTTGGAGAACACGAACACGACGTCCTTCCTCAAGCTTGCGGAATTGAAGAGAATTGTTCACCGCACGGGTCGGGACAGAATGAAGGCTCATCGTGAACGGATCGCTGACAACAGCGAGGAGAAGCTATCTGCCACCATTGGTTTCCTGCGGGCTGCTTTTATGGGGAATCTGCAAACTATGGAGCGGTTGCAAGCTGTTTATCCTCGTCTTCGTTCGGTGCCTGCGACCTCACATGCGCCTGCTCACCGGGAGTTTCGAATACTTCAGGATCATGCGCTTGAGCTTTCCCAGGAGGTCGCAAGCAACATATTGGACGATCTACGACGGCAGCGCGATAATCTTCCAGAGGGTGTTTACGAGCAGCGAAAATCGAACATTGTATCATCCCTCTCCAAGCTGGTGCCGGGATCTTCTGGGTCGGTGCAGGCAGTCAGGGATCCTTCTACAGGTTCTGTTGCCACGGAGCCATGCGACGTAGCTCGGATTTTGACGGAACATTGGCAAAGCGCATTCGCAGAACAGCGGACGGACAGGCACTTGAGGCAACGTTGGATCGACAAAGTAAGGGGCAGCTTACGAGTAACCCTCGAAGATCTGACTCCCACGATCGAGGATGTGGACGCTGTGTTAACCAACCTTCCTAGCTCTTCCCCTGGTCCAGACGGCATTCCTTCTGCAGTTTTCTCGATGCTTCGTGGCATGTTGGCACCGTTATTCTTGGACCTCGCGTTGCTCATGCTGCGTGGAGAAGCTCTGCCTCCGGACGATTTCAACATGGCTTACTTGATATGTCTGCCGAAGGGCTCTGGCACGCTGTCGTCGAAGGGCGAAGAGTTTTACGATCCAGGCAACACCCGCTCTTTATCCATCGTGGACGCCAGCATCCGTATCCTTGCTTCTATCTTCAGAGTCGCCGTGGAGAGATCGGCGGCGCCTCGGGTGTCCTTGCCACAAAGAGGATTTATTCAAGGCCGGCAAATGTTACGCAACGTGTTGTACGTGGATTTTGCGGCGCAGAAGATATCCGTAACATCATCTCGGGGGGCTATCCTCCTCTTCGACTTCCGCGCTGCTTTTCCTAGCAGGGACCATTCTTTCATGTGGGATGTCCTCGAAGGTATTGGTTTTCCGCATCAGTACGTCCGCATGTTGCAAATGTTCTACGCCAGGAGCGTGCACAAGATCAAAGTTGGGGACGAACATTTCGATAGCACCACCGTCAACAGTGGGGTGAGACAGGGGTGCTCGTTGTCGCCGCTGCTGTTTGCCATTTGCGCTGACATCCTGCTACGAGAAGTTGCATATATGCTACGTGGCCACGAAGTCGTTCGCGCCTTCGCTGACGACACAGCGGCGGTGGTGCACGACTACGTAACAGCAGTTCCTGTGCTCGCCAAGTTGTTCGCCGAGTTCGAGTCGATTTCTCGCCTGGCCCTCAACGTCAAGAAAACGGTGTTCATCCCCCTTTGGAGGCACAGTTCAGAGAAAGGTTTACGTAACCTGATCACAGAGCTGGCCCCCGTATGGCGGGACATCATAATTGCGACGCAGGGGAAATTTGGGCTTCTGGATCGGCCCGGGAGCGTGCAGTCAATCGTGGACTAAACCGTTGGAGAAATTTCACAAGCGAGTGCTGTTGTGGTCAACGCACAGACTGGGATTGTATTTGTCGGCCATCGCCTTCAACGTGTTCGTCTGCTCTGTCCTTTCGTTCGCGATGCAGTTGGAGGAGCTGCCAGCAGATTTCGCGAGCACATTCGCGTGGGCAGTGAGGCGTCTTGTGCCTGGTCCCGGCAATTGGGCTACGCCTGCTGACTTGTGCGCGCTGAAGGAGGAGTTTGGGCTTTCTTGCTTATTTTCGAACCCGGCAGATCTCGCCCAGGCCGCCAAACTTCGGGTGGTGGAGACAATTGCCCCCGACTGCAAAGACCGCTGCGCTGAGCTCTCTTCCCTGGACGACGCTGTGCTGCAGGGGCCTTTCGGGAGTTGGCATCGGAATTCCTATTTTGCTATCTTAACGCGGGCAGAGGAGCAGCTCGGGCGCATGGGCATCACGCGCTCAGCGGTTCGGCGGGCCATCGCCGGTGTTCCCCCTCAGCAGAGGAGACCGACATTCCAAGCGGTAGCGACATCTCTGATCAGGGCCAAGAGCGGCAACCGGGATCAGCGGCTTCAGCACAAGATATCAATATGGAATTCCCAGGGCGACCCGGCTGACGCAGCGGGGAAAATCCGCACCAATTTTGCGTTAGTGCACAAGTGGTGTCCGCCCAGGGTGGCCGCAGCATATCTTCGTACACTGCTCAATGGATGGATCACTCGCCGCCGCATGCGCCATGCTGGGGCTTCTAGCCAGGATGCCCAGGGTAGCTGCTTGTTTGGCTGTGAACACGGAGAAGATAGTTTGGAACATTATTCCGTCTGCTCAGTGGTCTGGGACTTCATGCGGGCGGCCGGGCCCTCGGGCTTGGGCAGCACTTCCGATCCATCCAGTTGCGCTTTCTTTCTGATGGACGCAGACGCACGCGACGAAGACAAGATCCGGACAGCATTGGCGGTGTACGCAGTCTACCGCGCCACCAACCACCTGCGACGCGCTGAGGCGAGCTCTGGGCAGAGCATGGATATGCATCGATTGCTCAGCAGATGGTATCGTCGGGGAGCAGAACGGTCTCGGTCATGGAAGCTGCTTCGTCCATAACATTTACGGGTGTCTGCAGCGATTATGTATGGCGTCGATTCTGCAGGTCTGGTATTACTTAGTTGTGTTGCTGCCGCTTTCGCTTATCACCCCGCACGGGGTGGCGGAGTCTTCGACTATAGAGGAGGAGCAAACAGGAACACACAAAAAAAAAGCTTGGACCTTATTTGGCCGTCTCGGAGGCCATCTTGGACCATCTAAGACAAACTTTGAGGCAATGTTTTGCAATATGAGCAGTCTTGGAGGCCATATTGGGGCCAGCTTGGGACAGAAAACCAAGGGAGTGTACTTTTTCGGCGGGCTTTCGGGTGGCCGACGCGCTGGGCCGAAGCCCCATGGGGTTTCTTTTGGAAAAAGAGCCAAAACCAACCCGTATCGGATTCAGCACGCCAGGCACCCCTGTGGTAAGCTCACAGGGGGCGGCGGATCCAGCTGCCTGCTGCAAGTCCCGCCACCGTACCAGCTCAGCACGCTCGGCGGCTCTCATTCGAGGGGACACCATGGGAGCGTTGTGGAGTGTTGTGGATGTTCGCTGCAATCTCGTGGGAGGCCTCTCGGGGGCCTCTTGCAAGCAGTTTCGAGGCCTCGTGGAGGCCGTTATGAGCCCTCTTGATGGCCTCTTGGGGGCCTCTTGGTGGCCTCATGGGGCCACTTGCGCTCCTCTTGGGGCCTCCTGGTGGGGCTCCTTGGGGTCCCTTGGGGCGGACGGCTCGGATCTTCGGTTCGTGTTCTCTCTTTCTGGTGCCCTTCTTGGAGCCGTCGCGGGGTCCTCTTGGGCAGTATTGGGCGCCTCTTGGGCCGTCGTGGGGCGCTCTTAGGCCGTCTTGGGGCCCTTTTGGAGACCTCTTGGGCAGTTTTGGGGTGGTCTTGTGGGCCTCCTGGGAGCGTCGGAAAGCCGAAATGGCGATGGCGCCACAATCTTGTAAAACACGCAGGGGAAATCAACGATGTTTGCCTTGGGGGGCCCTCTTGGGAGACCTCTTGGAGGCCTCTTGGGGCGCCTGGGACGCGTCTTGCGCCATCTTGGGGCCATCCTGGGCGTCCTAGAGCGATCGTTCGGCGACTCGGGGCCCTTTTGGATCGTCTTGGGGGCCTCTTGGGCCGTCATGGAAGCCTTGGAGCCCCAGGGAGGCGCCATGGCCGCCTAAGGATCCCCCGGGAGATTGCAACAAAAACCCTACCAGACAGTCCTTGACATTCTAGCACGCCTCAATGTGCCAGGGGGCACGGTGGCGGATCAGCATTTGTCTCGTCTGTCACTTCTACAGCACAGGTAGCAGGATCGTCCAGCTGGGGCAGCAGTGCAGGGCTCGTTTCGATTCATCCGATTCGATTCGATTCGATTCCGATGGTTTCCGATTCCGATTCGTTTCGACTTGGGGTTCCGATGTCTTATTGGAGGCATGCTAGCCTGCCGATTTCTGTCGATTCGACTTTTCCCGACTCGGCTGCCGATTTCCGCCGATCCGATTCATTTCGATCGCCGATCCGACTTGTCGATTCGATTCTGGGCTCTCCTGGCAGTGTTTTCGCCGTGAGCTCCCTGGGGCGGGCGGCGTAGCTAGGGCTCAGCCCACCCAGGGAAAACACCAGCAGTAACATGTGAGGGAGAATATACCAAATGTCTTCCCCTTCCGTGGTCAGTATGATATTTTACTGGCATGTAAGAATCGTCGTTAAAAGCTCATACTCTTCATAACTATCCCCCTCCCGTTTCGCACCACCAGACGCGCAAATAGGACGGGCTGGTTGTTTCGTGTGATACCGCCCTACAAATTGTTATCCTGAAACACGAGCGTCAGCAGTTACAAGATAGGGCCGGTGGGCTTCCGAGTGCAGCTCTCGTCTTCGAGCCGCGCACATATGTCTATTTTAGGGTTTCTCTGTTAGACGGATTAAGGTCCATGGTTTTCAAAACGCGGTTCTCGCATAAATTAGCGCCGCGCACGTTCGTTTGAGCCAGTAGTCATTGCTAGAAGGATGGAGGCTGTTACGTGTTCAATATGTCGCTCTCGCCTTAGCGCTGGGCACTGTCGTCTTCTCAAGCCGAACATTTTTTCGGATGGATGGAGTCAAAATGCGCCTCCTTCCTCAGCACCGTGGACATTCGTGCTGTCAGGATGAAGGCTGACTCGTTTTCAAAATGCGACTCGTTCGGGACCTCAAATTTCCGAAGTTCAGATTGTGTACAGTCGGACCGAGGTATAAGATCGAGATCGGTTCGGGGAGGGTACCCTCATGTTCTTCGTGGTGGTTGCATGCTCTCGTGCATCCTGGGGGAGGGTACCCTCCAATGTGCTTTGTGTTTTGGCTGGCGGAGGTCCCATGTTCTTTTATTTTCTGTCCCAGGTCCGGCCGTGGTTGTGCAGAGATCTAAGGAGGAGGGAACTTCGGGATGGGAAAGTGCGCTGCAGCACCGTTGATGGATCCTGAGCTTGCTCTGGTCCTCATGTCTTCCTCTTGAGCCGTGGCCCCCTCCCTCACTCAGGCGATCGCAAACATGGATGACGGGGGCGTGGATTAGCGACGGGTCCCGTTTCCATGGGAGATCGCGGATTTCCGCCGCCGAACGAGGCGGCACCGGCCGCATTTTGGGGATGGCATCTCCCCCGATCCATGGATTTGGCGACCGCTCGCCAAATCCATGGATCGCTAATCCATGTTGGCGCGCCCCCACCCCCGTCGTCCGAGGTCTGCCAGGCTCCTAGAAGGCTGGTGGTGTTCCTCCGCAAGAGTACTCTTGGGCACGCTGCGCACCCACGACTACAGTCACGTAGACTCCAGATGCGTTGATGCTTATGTCGCCCTGGGCTCAATGTTTCACCGGCTGTTGTGGCCGAAGGCGCTCTCCAGCGCGTGTCACACGCGCGCGCGCTTTCCACGCTGCCTGGCACGGCCTTTCCGCACCACCTCGCCTGGCGCCGGCGCTCGGCTCCCGACGCCGCCACCTCGAGGAGGCTGCCAGGCTCAGATCGGCGGCGAGGGGAAAGTGTCAGTATCGTTTAACCGATCCCCGTTCCCATCCCCATCCCGATCCCCACCATCCCGCCACCCCAGTTGGGAATATGCCCCTCGAAGCCCGAAGGGAACCGCCTACATCACCATCTCGGGGGTAAATCAGCCAGTGGGGCCCAGGCCACGCCAGTGGGGATGGGGATCGGGTAAACGATGCTCAAAGTGAGAAGGGGCTGGCCTTCTCAGAAGGTCTGGGAAGTCCCCCGACCTTCTGAGACGTTTTCTCTAAGCCTCCCTCGGAGACACGGATAACCTCTCGGGAGGCCGGAGGGCCTCTCAGAATGCCGCGCCGCCTCTCGAGACGGTTTCTCCTTCTCGCTTCCCTTCCCCGCTCGCCGCCGATCCGAGAGCAGGGGCCATGCGCTGCTCTTTCCTTCTTCCCCCTGTCGCCTCGTCGAGGAGGAGGAGGAGGCCCCTGGGCAACCTTCCCAATGGCACCCTTGCATCATTCGAAGAAGAATTGCACCAGAGAAAAAACCCAATCAGTGGATGGTTTGCAAAGCAGTGATACGGATATTGAAATCGATTGTGAGATCGATCATGGATCGATCGTGAGCACGATTGTGAGGTCGATCGTGAGACCGACAGTGAATTTGATTTAATGAGATCGATAGTGAGATCGATCGTGAGATCGCTCGTGCGATCTATAGTGAGATCGATTGTGAGATCGATCGTTATATCGATTATGCGATCGATAGAGAAGTGGGCAATGAGATCGATGGTGAGACCGATCGATCAGAAGATCGACCATGAACCCGGGAACCTGGGAACCCCGCCGCCCACCGAAATCGGCGGGGAACTCGGAACCATGAACCCAGGAACGCGGCACTGGAAACCCGGGAACCTGGCCGCTTACCGAAATCTGCCCGGATCTTTCCCCAAATCCTTCAATATCCGCTGGGACCCCTTCAGTGCAAGCGGAGAAAACGCTACAATCAAAACTTTCGGCGCTCCGCGCGGATTTCTTGGGTCCGCGCTGGCCAGCCTCCTTCGCGAAACGTGAGCGGGGCCCTCCGAGGCCGTTTCATCCTTGCCTTAAGTCGGGCCTGTCCCTCTACAGGGGGAATATTGAAAAATTGTAAAAATAGTCGGGGGACGATGTTTTGAGAATTTTTGGCCATTTTGGGGGTATTCAGGGGTATTTTTTTCGTCGAAAATCCCCCTGTAGGGGGACAGGTCCGACTTAAATCCTTGCCCCGCATCCTCATGATGCGGTCCAACTGTACGTGGGGGGGGGCAGCGAGGGTTGCAGAAAAGGGGCCCAAAGGGGGCCTCTCGGGCCCGCGAGTTGCACCTTTCTTCCCCCCCTATTTCTGCATCGGGCCTGTCCCTCTACAGGAGGAATTTTCAAAAATATGTTAAACAATAGTCTGGGGACGATTGTTTGACCATTTTTGCGTGTTGTTTTGAATATTTTGGGTACTTTCACTTTTCGCCCCAAATCCCCCCTGTAGGGGGACAAGCCCGACCCAACCCTATTTTTGTCGCCCCCACATCAACCGACGCCCCACTCCGCGGCCGTTCTGTGCTTTCCCCCCCGCTCTGGTGCGCCCAGTGTCCCCAGCGCGTTCCATCGGCTCTGCAGTCGCGCTCGCGCCCGCCAGCGGTGCAGGCAGAACAAAGCTCAGGAGGGAACAAAAACACACAGACGCAATTAATCGTCGATTCCCCCGGAAATATGGGAACATATGGGAAGTGGGGGGGGGAAGACAGAAACCCAGAAAATATGGGGAAATATGGGGGATCCTGTTAGTTGTGTGTATTTATCTGTGTGTCCCAGGGCCCCTTCAAGAGCAAAAGCATGTGCACTCGTGTCCCCCTCGTCGTCGTCTTTCGCATTTTCGTGCCCCGAGGTCTGCTGGTTTCAGCGGTCCGGCGACGAGCTGTGCGGGCGGGTGCTCCAGCACGTGGACGCAGGCCTTGCCGCGGAGAGGGTAGGGTCGGATCAAGCTCTGGTCCTGTCGGATCGGATCGGAGCAAGATCGGGTCGGGTCTTCACTAACTCAAAACAGACGCCCAATCCCAAAAACGCGAGGGCCAAAACAGAACGCATGCTCTTCGAGACTTCGAGGGGGGAGATTTTGGGGCCTAGGGTTTTACCAGGGTGGCAACGACGAACGCAAAACATACCCCGAAATATTTGGCCGATCTTCGAATCCTCGGTGAATCCGCGATTTTGGGGTCGGGGATATGTTTTTCTTGGTCGGGTCTGATCGGGTCAGTATCGGATACCAGATCGGATCAAGACCAGACAAGGTCGTAGCAAGAGCGGTCGGGAGCCTTGAGACGGGGGTCGACGCAAACGGGGGTCAGCCAGAGCGCCAGATCTTGCAGGATCCTGCAGAGTCAGGGGCGCACTGACCCGGGCTCATGTGCAACGCCTGCAACGCCTGACTGACCCCGGTTTGGATTGTCCGGGCTCAGCAGATCCCCGAATCGGATCGGATCGGATCGGGTCGAATCGGATCAAGATCAGATCGGATTGAAGCAACGTCGGGTCAAGGTGGAATTGGATCGGATCAAGATCGGATCACGACCCGCATCGCGGATACGTCGGCGACGCGGCGCGATTTGGAGTCCGGCGTTCTTCGTCCCGACGTCGCCTGTGCATCGGCGATGCATCAGCGATGCTCAGACGCCAGGCGAAGGCTGGCAAATCCGTGGCTGCTAAAACGGAGCTCCGGGAAACTGTTTTTTTCTTCCGGGAAGCGGCCCGTGTACTACTTCGTGCGCCGAGCTTGATTCCAGGATTTGTTTTTTCCTTCTGGGAAGACCTTTTTAGCAATCACGGATTTGCCGGCCCTCGCAGGCAAGCCACAACTGGGAGCCCGTTTCTTTATTGCTTGGGGCATGACGGGCGTCATGGCCCCCGCCCCCCCCCCCCCCTATGACGTAACGCTCCCCCCCCCCAGTGCGCTCCGGGCACTGCCGCCGTGCGCATTGGGATCCGCGTAGGTGTCCGCGTAGGAATCCGCATAGGTGTCTGGTCCGCAGGAGTCGTCGTCGTCGTCGTCGTCGTCGTCGTCGTCGTCGTCGTCGTCGTCGTCGTCGTCGTCGTCGTCGTCGCTCGTGGTTCGTCGCTCGTCGCTCATCGTCGTCGTGCGCGCGGACGCGGCTGGAGCCTGTTTTGAAGTCCGGGCCGATGACGGCAATCATTTGGGGGGGGAGGGGGTCGATGACGTCACGTTTCGCGCCGGCGGCGTCTGGGAATGCTTAGGAATGACGGAGGACGGGTAGCACGAACATGTAGGTGGCGATATGCACCACAACGCTTGTGTACATCACAGTGCCCGCGTGCACCGCAGCGCCTGTGTACACCACACCGCCGATGTACACCACAGCAGCCGCGTGCAACGCAGCGTCAGTTTGTGCCACCGTGCCTGCGGGCACAGCAGCTCCTGCGTACACCACAGCGCCTCCGTGCCCCACATCAGCCGTGCGCAACAGTGTACACCACAATGCCTGCGTGCATTGCAGTGCCTGTGTACGCCACGGCGTCTGTGTGCACCATATCAACCGCGTGCAACACAGCACCATTGTTGCGCATAGAATTCTTGAAGTTCCGCGTATCCCCACCAGCCACGCCCCCGATTTTCCGTGTCGGACAAGTTGCAGGCTGTGGACTCAGACGGCATCGACGACTGGTCCTCGACTGGGCACTGGTCGCTCTCACGCCCAAGAGCGTCCTGTGAGTCATTGCGAGTGAAGCTTCTGTCTTTGCCTTCCCATTTTCCTGCTGCTGGGTGCCCTAACGCCCGCCGTGTCTCTCTTGTTTTTTTGCCTCACCTTTTTTGTATGGACGGTGCGGCCACGCCTGGCCACCCCGTGCCGCCACAGTGCGGCGTGCTCCACGCCCTGTCGCGCTGTACGGTACGGTCGGAGCTTGGCGCCGCGTGTGCGACAGTTCCTTTCCGTCCGCTTCCGGTTTTGTGCTTGCGTCCCCATCTGTCGGGCCGCCTGCGTCAGTCCCCAATGAGGGTCATTTTGTCCCTGGCATGTGCACTCGCTACAGCGGCCTATGCGCCTCTGCAGCCAATTATCTCGGTCTGTGGCCCAGACGTTATTCCCGCTCGCTGGATCTGTCCTTTGAGCCGCCAATCAAAAAGTATCCCCACCAACCCATCCAGAAACGATGTCCAGGCAAGTTGAAGAGATCAGGGATGTGGGGGAGCAGCGAGAGGGACAGCCGATCCGTGCAAAGGATGAGACGGAAGAGGACGCCAGATGGATAGATGAGGGGGTGGCGAAGAAGCGAGCGAAAGAGGGATGAGAAGAATGATGACGCTGGGTGGATGGTTCAATGCCGCTCGGATGCCTCTTGGAAGCCTTTTGGAAGTCTCTTCGGGCGTCTTGGGGGTCTATTGGCGGTCAATGCGGGCTCTTGGGCGTCTTGGGTGCTTCGGGGGGGCCTCTTGAGGCCGTTTGGGATCCTCTTGGGGGGCTCTTGGGGGCCTGTTGGAGGCCTCTTGGGGCCTCTTGGGGGTCTCTTGGAGCTTCATGGCGGCCTCTTGGAGCCTCTTGGAGGCTTCTTGGAACCATCCTGGGCGCTTCTTGGGGCCATCTTGGAAGCGATCGATCAAAAAAATGGGGGGGGGTCTAATTAACCCTGCCCGTCGGGAGTTCCCAAAATTGCCGCCTGGACCCCTCTTGGGGCGCTCTTGGGCGCTCTTGGGGCCGTCTTGGGGCCCTCTTGGGCCCCTCTTGGGGCCTCCTTGGCCCCTCTTGGAGTCATGTTGAGGCCTCAGATGGCCACCGGAAGCGAAAAGGCGAGAAACCGCAAATCATTGGTTGTTCTTAGGTTTTTGAAGGATTTTGGCTTCATGGGGGGCCTCTTTGGGGAGATGTCCTCTTGGAGCTGTCTTGGAGCGTTCTGAGAGCGTCTTGGAGCATCTTCGGAGCCATCTTGCGGCATCTTAGGCTATCTTGAGCCATCTTGGAAGTCATCTTGGATTATCCGAGGCGCTCATGGAGCCATCTTGGGCACTCGGACCGCTCGCGACCGGGCCCGTCCAGGTTTAGGGGAGGGGGTTAGGGGGAGGGGTAAACCCCTCCCCGAAGAGGAAGAAGGGAAGATGGAAGAAGAAACTCCCCAAACCACCTACGCCCAGAGGGCTGGTGGGATTTCAGAACGGATCCTTGTGACAAAATGGAGCGCGTGTGGATTCCAGAGAAAACAATGGAAAACAAATCCTCATGGACGAAGGAGCGCCGCTGGAATCTACGAGTCCCCCCGAGTCCGCCCGCATCACCCTAACTCCCATTTGCGTCCAGGAGGCTCCAGCTAAACTGGCCGTCCGAGAACCAACTGGACCGATTCAGTACACCAATATGCGGTGCACGGTGAGATGTGCACGTGCGTTGTAACGCGAAGCCGCACGACAGGGGGTAAGAAGGAGGAGGAAGAAAAGGAGGTGGAGGAGGAGGGAGGAAGGACAAATGTCGTATTGGATTATCAGAACTTTCCTGGCGTGGCGTTTAATTGTCCGCAGCAGATCCTGACGTACATGTTCCTTCTACCTGTCCTGTGCACGCAGGCGCTGTGGTGTACACCAGCGTTGCGTTGCACGCGGATGTTGTGGTGTAGACACGCGCTGTGGCGTGCACAGGCGCTGCGGTGCACGCAAGCACTGTGGTGTACACAGGCGTTGTGTTGCACTTGGCTGCTGCGGTGTATGTACACCGGCGCCGTAGTGCTCCCAAGTATTGTGGTATACACGGGCGGTGCATTGCATACGGCTGTTGCGGTGTACGCAGGCGCTGTGGTGCACACGCGCGGCGTGGTGCACGCGAGCGCGATGGTGTACACAGGCGCAATGGGCAGATCGCCACTTGCGTGCTGCTCGCCTCGTCGTCGTCGGTCGTCGCTCGTCGCTCGTCGCGTCGTGCGCGCGGGCGCGGCTGTGGTGCCAGAGCCGCTCGGCGGGGGGGGGCGTCGCGTCATACCCCCCGCGCCCTCGCCCCCCCCCCCCCCCCATGGCGCCCGTCGTCGCCGAACATGAAGAAACGCGCTCTGGGGGAGTTGTGGTCCTTACCCCCCTGGGGGGCCCATCGATTTCGACACCCCTCTCGAGAGATCGTCGATGCGAGGGGTTCCCCCAGGGGGGTAAGGACCACAGCTCCCCCAGTTATGGCTGGTCGCCCTCGCCCAGCTTCCAAGCATCGGCGATGCGTCGGAGGCGGCACCGCCCACGTCCTGGCCCCGTTCGGGGGGGGGCCCGCACGCGGGGCCGCCTCCCAGGCCCCGAGGCCGTCGAGAGAGGCGGGCGGGGACGAGGGGCGGGCGCGGGGCAGGAAGCCACCCTTCGACCCAGGGGTGGACCTAAACGGTGTTTTGGCGATTTCGCGGGCCGTTTTCGTCTCGACTTCGTTCTGCGTGAAGTGCGGATTGAATAGAAAACGAGGGACAACGAACACAAAACGAAAACGAGAAACACCGTTTAGGTTCAGCCCTGCTTCGAGCTGGGGATCAGCTGTAGAGTTGGTTTGCCACGAAGTTGTTTTTTTTCGTCGCATCTAGAAGCGTATATACACATACAGAGCTGCCAGGCCCCGAGGCCGTCGAGAGAGGCGGATGGAGACGAGGGGCGGGCGCGGGGCGGGAAGCCACCCTGCGAGCAGGGGATCATCTGCAGAACTGATTTGCCACGAATGTGTTTTTCTTCGCATCTAGAAACGTAAATACACATACCGTCGGCCCGCATTAGTAGGTCGACCCTGCCAGCTCAAGGGTACCTTTGTGTCCTGTGCCTCGCGACACGTGCCTTCTTACACTCCTATGGCGGTGTGGCCATCGGAAGGGTCTTGCGTCCTCTCGTGTGTCTTGTCCAATCAAAGCCGACTGTACAGAGCCAAACATCCGGAGGGACGCGTCGGCAAAGGAGCGCCCGACCGTGAAGCATAATACGGACAGCGCGGCGGAAGCAGGAGGAGGAAGGAGGAAGAGAGGAAATTGCATAAACTGCAACAGGTGCTCAGATGTGTTGCGACAGATGGTAGACTGACGATGCCCACTGTGGTTGAAAAAACTCAACGTTCGTGGACTGCTACGTATTCCTTCGGCGATTCTACGAAAAAAGAATTCTGGGGTACATCAGTTCAGTGTTTTGTCTTCTTCGGAGCGTGAATTACCTACCCCGATTTCGCTTCCAGGCAAAGCCAAGCCAGGCAGCGCGCCTCCTCGTCAAGCGGCCTGACCAGTCCAGGCCGTAGTTTGGCATCGCTTGGTATCTCTTGGAAGCGAGGGTGGTCAAAAGCGAGGTGGGTCTGTTTGCCCCCTATTCCTACTCAAGCCCTGGGGTCCAGAGCCCGCTTCCTCTCGAGGGCCTCGCCCCCTCGTGCCAGAGGCCTCGCCATCTGCAGCTTGCTGGCCACCCACGTCCACCGCAGGCTGCTGCACAACGCGCTCGTGCCACGGCCCATCGCGGACCAGGACCGAGCAGCGACAGCTGCGGGCACGTACCAGGTCGGGCGACGACATCTGTGCACGTTCACTGCCCCTCCCTGGGCCCAGGAGCTGTGAGCACGCCCTCCTGGCCAAGCCAGGAGGGCGTGTCGTATACACCGCTGCTGGGTTCAGGATTGGCCTGGCCAGGGAGCAGTGGACATGTATGTAGATTTCGTCACCTTGACCAGGGCGTCCGCGATTCCGTCGGCTCTGCTGTGTCGCATTCGGCTGTGCTTGGTCGGCTCAGTTCGGTCGCTTGTTGTGTCGTTGCACCCCCCTGCTTTCGGGTCCCTTCTTCGGCGCACCCGAGATCAGTTGTTGACGACCTCGGGGTCTGGAAGCGGGTTGCGGGGTCGAACGATTTCGAAAAGCTTAGTTACGTTGTTTTCAAGACGTCGGATGTCTGGTGGATCCGCCTGTGGCCACGCCAAGGAGGCAGAGCACACTTCCAGACCTCGATCCTCGGACCTGAGACCCCGATGCGCACTCTTTCGCCCCCTTGCAGGAGGAGCTGGCGGCGAGGAGGTCGCGCAGGGAGGGCGAGGAGGCCATGGGGGAAACGAGAAGACACCGATGCCGCTGCTCCCCGGACCTCTCTCAGCCGCTGCGGCCTGGCCGCCCTTCTGGGGCGAAGTTCGCCGCGGCGGGGAGCCCCCCCCCCCGAGAAGACCCCAAAGATGCCCAGGGCGTTGTTTTGGCGTTTTCAGCTCGGCGTCTTGGGAATCATTGCTTAGCGCTTTCAGGTCTCGACAAGAAATACTTGAAACACTAAAAAGATGATGCGTTGTTCGATCACGTGCAGACATTAGTTTAGCGTCTTCAGCCTGCGAACGCCCAAACATGTAAACAACAACGCCAGAACAACTGCCCCAAAAACGCACACCAAAACAACAACTTATCGTCTTGTTAGCGTTTTCAGCTTGTCAAGAGCCCAAAATATAAAACGCTAAACAAGACGCCCAGGGCGTGCTCAAGGCGAAAACCAAGGAAAGGACGAGGACGAGGGAAGCTGCATCCGTACCTTGCGTGGCTTACAGTCAACCCGCATAGTAAGGATGGGCGAACTTCCCAAGGGTACCCTTGCATCCTTGCCTCCTCGGTCCATCCTTCGCCGCTTTCGCTGCCCGCGCCCCGTTCGAAAAGCTTCGAAATGGGCGTCCAAGGCTCTCGCATCCTTATCGCGCATCCTTACTATACAGGTTGACTGTAGTGAGCACCCCCACCTGCCAGCCTGACCAGCGGCAGCTCGGTCAGCTCCCTGCCCCCGCACGCCGAACCCACCGCTCACAACCTGTCCATAGGGCCCATCAGGGGTTCGTCCTGGCCCGGGGATGGTCCTGGGTCGACTTGCGATCCAGTATCGATGGTCCTGTCGGTATCGTGTAACCGATCCCCATGCCCATCCCCATCCCCTTCGAGACCCCCACTAAATTACCACCCCAGTTGGGGATACGCCCCTCGAAACCCGAAGGGGACGACCTGTATCCCCATCTTAGGGGGGTAGATCGGCCAGTGGGGCTCAGGCCACAACGCTGGGGATGGGGATCGGTTAGACGATACTCAATCAGGGGTTCGTCCTGGCCCGGTGATGGTCCTGGGTCGATTTTCGCAGGCCTAAAGATTGACACCAACACCAAGATCGGCGGTGTGCCTCCACGGAGGGAAGACGATCCCGATCTCGGCGATGGTGGTACTATTCTGGCTTCCAAGGTGACCGAAGTATTACCACGACCACCGAAATCGAGGATCATCGCCTCCCTGTGGAGGCAACCCCCTGTGCTGGTGTTGGTGCCCATTTCCAGGCCTCCAAGACTTGCGATGGTTCCTGGGCCCGAAGCGGGACGTGGGAGGCCCGGAATGGGAACATCGTCGACCTCGGAATGCGGGGGGGCGAGGTTTTCGGGACGATCGAGGTTTCCAGGGTGCCAGCCTGTCAGCACTGTTCATGCCTCCGCATGCTCGTTTCCAGCAGGCCTCGCTTCTGACTGCGCACGTCGGCGACGCAGAAGAGCGGTGTCGTCTGCGGCCCGCGTAAGCCGCGGCGTAAGAACACAGACACAATTGATCGTCGATCCCCAGGGAAATATGGGAAAATACGGGAAGTGGGGGGGGGGACTACGAAAACCAAGAGAACATATGGAAATATGGGATTGTTTTTTGGGTGTATATATATATATATATATGATCAGCCAAGCGTGAATGCCTCCAGTCACTACGCCGCTGTCTTTATTCCGTAGCCTTCGGCTTTAGGTTTTCTTGGGTGTATGCTCAATCCAGACCTTCAGGCCCTGTACGCTGCCGCGATAGCAGGGCTGCCGGGCTGGGCCGCCCTCGTCTGGCAGGCCGCGCGAGGGCCTGGACAGTCCGCCTCCTTTGAGGGCGGAGGAGGCTACCCTGGACACGAGGAGGAGTGCCCCGAGGTGAACTGCGAGTGCCCAGAGGTGGTCTGCCCGAGGCCGGAGTGCCCCGAGACCGACTGCCCGATTGTGGAGTGTCCGTCTGTCCCCGACTTCAGGGAGGTGTACCCCTTGCTGGAGGAGGGCGTCTTCGCCTTCCTCTTCTTGCCGCTGCTGATCGCTACAGCCGCGGGAGTGCTGCTCGGCTGTTGGTGCGCCAGGAGGACGCTGAGTCAGAGAGGGGCGAACGGTCAGCACGCCAGCCCGTCCGAGTCGGACGAGAAGCGGCGACAGCTCGCCGCTGAGCAGGTGGCAGCCGTTCGCGCCCGTCGAGAGGCAGGGCGCTACACGCAGCATTGAGAATGGCAGCCAGGGGTGATTACATCCTCATCAAATACAACGGGGTAGACGAAGACCTGTACCATGAGACTTTGATCACGGGGGTCAGTCCAGAGGATCCCACTGAGGTTACGCTGTACACCGCCGATCGGGACCACTATCAGTTCAACATAGCGCCTGGAGATGATGTTGAGGCGGTGTACTGGATCGGGCTGCCAGGTGGTCGTCCAGCTCACGTGCCCGAGAATCAGATCTATCGGTTCCGCCACAACGTGCCGCCCAATGAGCGCCAGAGGCTTTTCGCGGAGGCGCAAGGCATGCTGGGAGCAGCGCCGGCGCCTCCACCAGCCCCCCTGGCGGCCCCGATGCGGAACGTGCAGAGGCAAGGTCTGGGCCGCCCCGCCGGGGCGGCCGCCAGACGCGCCGAGCCCGGCCGCGTGTGGGTCTTCGCCGAGGACCATGGCCGCCACCAGAAGGGCGATAGTGTGGAGGAGCTCCCTGCGGGGTCAGTGGTGCTAGGAGAGAGGGCGGTCGTGCCCACGGCGGACGGCAGCACGGCTTTCTTGCAGATGATCCCCCAGGACGACATAGATGAGTTCAAGATGGACGATCTCAGGGTGATGCCAGTGAAGTTTGACGGCATGGGACGACGCAGGAGGCTCTTCCAGGATGGCGTCGCCAGCTTCGTGCCCGACGAGCCCGAAGGGGGCGTGGGGCTGGAGGGCCCTGGCACCGTGTCCTGGAGATGCCAGACCTATGTCGAGAGGTCCCAGACGCTGGTGTCTCAGCATGCGTCGTGGAGGGCGACATCGGGCGTCTCGAGCGGGGACCGCAGCGTCTTCGAGCATGAGGTACTCTCCGAGGTGCTCGAGAGTATTGTGTGCACGGACCAGCTGCACGCCCCCGCGCTGCGTAGTGCGGAGCTCGTCTGCAGGAGGCTCCAGCTGATCGAGAGCGCCCACTCCCTGAACCCCTCAGCTCCCGACTACTCGGCCGCCGACCAGCACATGGGGTGGGGCCGCCGCCGTCAGGGCATGATGGTGGCCCCGCTGCTCCAGCAGCACGTGGCGACGGCCCTCCGCGACGAGCACCAGGTGGCCAAGGAGCAGAGGAAGGCCCGGGAGGAGCGTCGTCTGGGCCGCCAGAACAACAAGAACCACAAGGACAAGGCCCCAGAGGGCCAGGGGTGATGCGGCCCCCTCCGAGGGGCGAAGGACCTAGCCCTCGGCAGTGACACGCCCAGGAGGTCCACAATTTTTTGATAGAGCTCGGCCACGGGATTTATTTCCGCTCCCTCATGTTGTTGAGCAGTCGGCTACTGAGGGGCATCCCTCACGCTCGGTGCGAAGACGCCTGGCGAGGAGGAGGTTTTTGGACAGGGCCACCAACTCTGTCATCTGCACCTTGAATGAGATGCAGGGCTCCGCCGGGGTGCACGACGGAACCCCCGCGATGGGCCAGATGCTTTCTCAGGATGCGATACGCTGCGACGTCGCGCCCATTCCGCCACCCCAGACCTTGTACACCAGACACGGGGCCGTTCGCGAGCTCTTGTCAGGCATCGTTGACTATGCATGCAGCGATTGCAGCACCACGGTTCGTCCCTATCGGCGGGATCAGGTTTCTCTTCCAGATCCCGGGAGGCCCTCGGCGGATTTGCTGTGTACCCTCCCGGAGCCTGACCAGGATTTGCTGAAGTCATGGGATACTCATATGCTTGCTGACCCTGCTGATGTGGGGTTCTATCGAGAGTCGGGACATCAGTTTAGGTTGTATTTCGACGAGATTTTTAAGGCGCAGGGGGATGTCTACGTTGAGTGTTTGAAAGACCTTAGCGACGCCAAGATGATCGGTTGGACTGAGAAGCCTCTGAGCCTGGTGACCCCTTTCTTTGTGGTAAAGAAGCACGACAGGTTACGACTCATCATGGATTGCAGAAACACGAACCTCCTCTTCCGAGCACCCCCTGCCCCTGAGATGGGCACGGCCGCAGCGTGGGGCAATCTGGAGCGTCCAGAGGCTCGTCCTGGAGCCGAGGCCGGCGGAGCTGACGCCAGCGGAAGTGGCGGAAGCAAGCTCTGGGTCGCCCAGGCAGACGTGAAGGATTGTTTCCACTGTGTTCGCAATCTTCCAGAGCTGTGCCCGTGCTTCTGCATGCCGCCGATCACGGAGGGGGAGAGAGCCGACGCTGGCATTGGGGGCCCAAGTGGCCTTGGGGATTTGGCTCGTGAGGTTTCGGTTTACCCAATGCTGCTGACTCTTCCAATGGGGTTCTCCTGGGCCTTCTATTTCGTCCAGCGCCTCGTGGAACACCAGTGCAGAGTTTCCCTGGCTGGGGCTGGCTTGGCTTTCAAGTTCCTGAGGGACCAGGCCCCTGCTCCAGATCTCGGGACCCAGTTGGCCGTTCTACCCTACTGCGACAACATCAATGTTGCGGGCATCAGGAGGGAGGAGGTGAAGGAGGCTAAGGATGTGATCGTTCGGAGGCTTCGATTCGTGCAGTTCACTGTCCATGAGGAGACCGAGCCCGAGACCCTGTCGTACTCGCTGGGTCGCGTCATCGATGGGGAGTCCCGGGTGGTTCGTAATCGGTCTGAACGAGGGGGGCGTCTTCGCAAGGTCTGTGAGGCTCTTGAGGGGGGTCAACCAGTGACGGGTAGGCAGATGAAGCAGTACCTTGGCCACGTGGTCGATTTCTTTCTGATTAGACGGGAGGTCCTCTCGGTGCTCAGAGCTTGCTACGACTTTGCGCAGGCGGCAGACAAGAAGCCCCAGAGTTTGTGGCCTTCTGCTCGGCGCGAAGTTCGCTGGATACGTTCTCTCACTTTCATTGGTCTCGCTCGGCTGGACAGGCCTTGGCACGATGCAGTTGCGTCGACTGATGCGTGCGAGTCTGGTGCAGGGATCGCTGCGCGCCGAGCAGACCACGCGGAGGTGGCGTCCATTGGCCGAGTCCGCGAGAGATGGAGATATCGCTCTCGCCACCCCCTTCACTGTCGTCCTCGTCTGCATGCCCTGGGCGGGGACCCTCTTCAAGACGTGGATACGGTCCTGCCAGTAACCCGACAGGCCCTTGGGGAGGCACCTGAGGACCTGGAGGTCAACCCGGGGTTCGACGAGATCCCAGAGGCCTTCATGGACCACGACAAGTGGCACGAGGTGTTTGCTATGCGTTTCAGGAGGGAGGAGGCTATACCTATTCTGGAAGGTCGGGCGTCTCTGTTGGGGATACAGCATTATATGAGGTCGTCTCGGTCTTTTGGGAAGCGTCTTCTACTCGTGGGGGACCAGCTGGGGGACACTCTTGCTATTGGGCGTTCTCGGGCATCATCGTGCGACCTGCTCATAATCATCAGGCGTATTGCTACCTACATGTTGGCTACTGGCTCGAGTCTCTCTGCACGGTGGACCCCTTCTGAACCCAATGAGGTTGCCGACCGATCCTCCAGGCGATGGGAGAGCGACGTCAGGGCTCCGAAGGGCCGCAGCGGCTCGGGCGCCCACCCGCCGCGCCAAGTGCCAGAAGACGGCTCTGGCGCGCCATGGGGAGGGCGTGACCTCACGGCTCCAGCGGCACCACCGGGGCTCCACCCCAGCGAGGCCTGCGGGCTCGACGCCGCTGCGCCTTCAGCGTCAAGGAGCTGTGGAGCGCATCTCGGGACCCTCGAGAGAGAGCCGTCGGGAGAAGCGCCAGAGCATCTTCGGGGCCTTCGAGCGTCTCGCCTTGTCGGGCCAGCATTCCATTCTCGAACGTCACTCGATTACGGCACCCACGGAGGGCCTATACACAGCCTGGTGGGAGGAGCTCCAGGATTTTGTGGATATGAACGGCTACACCTTGAACAACGTGAAGAATGCCGACATTGCGCTGGTGGACTTCGCGGACCACTTGTTTCTCGAGGGGTTCGAGCGGCCCGACCTCATGAAGATGTACGCCGCGGCCGCCTGGCACCTGGCCGGCCTGTCCCCCATCGGGAAGCTGCGTTTCCCGCGGTTCTCCCGCGCAGCCCGGGGGCTGGGCCTGCTGGCGCCAGCGCAGACCGTGCCGCCCGTCCCCTTCGAGGTGGCGCGCTGGATCGCTTGGCACATATACCTCCGCCTCCAGGGCTGGACCATCCCACTCTGCCTGCTGACCATGTTCGTCTGCTGCTTCAGGCCCGTGGACATTCACAGCCTGAGGGAGGAGGACCTGGTGCCGCCGGGAGGCTCGACCCTGCCCGCCGCGGAGAGACGTCAAAGGTGGGGGTGTCCGACGAGGCGCTGCTCCTCGACTCCCCCTACCTCCCAGGCCTGGGCCCAGCGCTGCATCGGCGACGTCGCGGCCAACGGCCGGCCAAGTTGTTCGAGGTCAGCGAGAGGGAGCTCAGCCTTCAGTGGGGCCGCTCGCAAGAGCAGCTCGGGCTGCTTCCATCCCAGCGGCATCGCCTGTGCCAGATCCGCCACGCGGGGCCGCCCCACGACATCCTCATGGGGGTCCGCACGCTCCTCGACGTCAAGCGCCGGGGGAGGTGGAGCTCGGACGCGACCGTCAAGCGGTGCGAGGCGGCGGGGGTGGTGCAGCAGGAGTGGGCCATGCTGTCGACGGCACAACAGGCCGCCGCGTCTCGCGCGGCGGAGTGGATGCAGTCTCAGGTGGGTATGTTCTCCGACCCCAGCCCGGGCGGGCGCGGCGCTGGAGGGCGCCGTGGCTCCTCCAGGAGCTGTACTGCGGCACGCGCGGGATCCTCGACAGCGCAGGCCGCCAGGGCATCGGGGGCGTCGGCTGGGACACGGAGATCAGTTCAAAGGCCGACCTCTCGAGTGCGGCCGTCATCAAGAGCATCGCCCGCGACTTCAAAGCGGCCGAGAACCGCTTCGGGCTGAGTGGGGTGTTCGCAGCTCTCTGGGTTGGAATCGTTTGCTCGACCTGGACTCGTATTCGCGACCGCCCTCCTCTTCCCAGGTTGCGAGATGATGACAAGTTCTTGTTGGGGTATCCACAGTATGAGCGTGATTGTGATAGAGAGGCTGTGCAGCTGGGAAATCTCATGGTAGAGCTATTGGTGAAGCTACTTTTGGAACTTTTACCTAAGAGAGTCGTCGTGGTCATAGAGAACCCACTGACATCCAGGCTCTGGCTTCATCCTGGTATTCTTCGATTGAGGGCTGAGTTTTCTGACCACCAAGAAGTGTTGCTGGATCAGTGTGCCCACGGCACTCCTTGGAAAAAGCCCACGAGGCTGCTGGTGTGGCACTGCTCTGCGATGAAGGCGCTGGGCAAGCGTTGTGCAGGCACGAGAGGCGTTTGCGCCTTCTCTCAGCAGCCTCATGCGACTCTGACCGGCAAGGTTCACGGAGTTTGGCGTACCAAGCAGACCCAGCAGTATCAGCAACGTTTTTGTGCAACCTTCTCGCGGTGCCTGGCTCAGCATCTCAGACACAGTCCGCCTTCTGTGTAGCCCCCCCTCTTTCTTCTCCGTGCCCTGCCAGAACACTATATGATAGCGGATCCGGGAGACGTTGATTATTGAATAATCTTTCTCTGCGCGCTGATTTGATTGTTGAAGTGCTGCCGGCATTGTTCTCGGCCAGCTGCGAGCCTCGCCCAACCGACAGCTGCCAATAGACAATGTTTCTAACTTCTGGCGGAGACACGAAACAGGCATGATCAGCCAAGCGTGAATGCCTCCAGTCACTACGCCGCTGTCTTTATTCCGTAGCCTTCGGCTTTAGGTTTTTCTTGGGCCCACCGTCCACCCCGACGCCTCCTGGGAGACATTGATTATTGAATAATCTTTCTCTGCGCGCTGATTTGATTGTTGAAGTGCTGCCGGCATTGTTCTCGGCCAGCTGCGAGCCTCGCCCAACCGACAGCTGCCACTAGACAATGTTTCTAACTTCTGGCGGAGACACGAACCAGGCATATCTATATATATATATATGTGTGTGTGTGTCCCAGGGCCCCTTCAGCTATGTCATGTCGCGTAGGACCCGTTTCTTTTCGTCGCTCGTCGCGTGGCCGCGGGCGCCTCCATTGGGGGCTGCAGCGCGCCACCCTGGAAGAGGCCTTGAGGCCCTGGGCTTCAGTCGGGCCTGTCCCTCTACAGGAGAAACACTCAAGAATAGTGAAAGAATAGCCAGGGGATTATTTTTTGAGTATTTTTTGTCATTGTTGCGTGTATATATGCCCAAATGGGGTCTCTCGGGGTCCTGCTCAAGGCTCCAGAAAGGTGTGAATGTGTGCCGTAAAAAAAGGTGCGGTGAGATACTTGGTGGGTGAAAAATGCCCGCCTAGAAGGCCCCTGTTGGGGGGGCTACTGGAGCCCTTTGCAAGTTAGCGCAGATGCGGATCTGAAGTGGCTGCAGGCCATTTTGGCCCAAGTGCTATGTTGAGTGGAAGAGGGGACTCCTCATCAGGGGCCCAGGGGCCTCATTCGCCCATGGTAGCGGAGCTCGTGGCGTGATCCATGGGTTCCTGGCGAGCCGCAATAGTTGGGCGAAGTTCGATTTCAAGGAGAGTTGGAGTACGAGGTTTGTATATAAATTCAAGACACTATGGGTAACCAAGGAGGTCCTTTGCCGCTTGTGGACGCCAAATTGCTGGGAAAGCCGAAGGCGTATTCTGGAAATCAGACATATGTGTTTCAATGGAAGTACGCTATCAAAGCGTGCGCGGGCGCTTTGGATGGAGTTTTTTTTTTTTTTTTTTTTTTTTTTTTTTTTTTTTTTTTTTTTTTTTTTTTTTTTTTTTTTTTTTTTTTTTTTTTTTTTTTTTTTTTTTTTTTTCCTTTTCTTTTTTTCTTTTTCTTTTTTTTTCCGGAGAGTTTGGAGCAGGCCGAGCGTCAGATCATTCCGATTCCAGTCAACGAGCTAAACGAGGTTCGGCGTGGACATAGCAGGACGTGAGCTTTCATTTTATCCCAGGTGCTGCAGGGTAGTTCTCTTCAGTTGGTAATGAACGTCCTTGGGTATCACGGTCTTGAAGCGTGGCGACAGCTGGTTCGTTTTTTAGAGGGGCCCGCGACGGGAGCAGCTCATGTCGCGCAATTGATGGGCATTTTCAACACAAGGTTCGACGGCGGACCGACTAAGTTTGCAGAGCAGCTTCAGATTTTGGAGAGTAGGTTTCAGACGTATGAGACGCAACACAACGAGAGGCTCTCGGACACGCTCAAGCAGGCAGCCTTGAAGCAGAACGCACCAGCAAGCATCAAAGGCCCAGGTTCATATACAGACTTTCGTTTCGGCCGAGTCGCTCACGGAGACGATGTCTAACTACACGCAGTTGCAGATGAGTTCGGCCGCAGCGGGCCCAGGACCAGCACCAATGGACATAGGCAACGTTCACATGGGCAAGGGTAAGGATAACATGAGCACCGGTAAGGGCAACGAGGGCAAAGGTAAGAACGACTCGAAGGGCAAAAACAACAAAAGCATGGACAGCGGCAGGGGTGAGTTTCAGACGGGCAACGGACACGGACAGGCAGATGTTCTGTGTCACCGCTGTGGCCAGCGAGGTCCCTACGCACGCAATTGCAGACACGCTCCGAGTTCTACTCGTAGCGAAGTCGCGAGTGCAGGTGGGCAGCAAGGGGGAGTGTCAAGCAATTCCCAGACGCCAGTGCAGCCTCAGTCGGGAGAGATTGGCGTTGTCTCTGGGATAGTTGATTCAAGTTGGGTGTCCACAGTTCGCCAGACAGCGATCATGTCAATGGGCGGTTTCGATGACGACCCACTGTTCGACAGTGGAGCGTGTGCACATGTGGTGCCTAAGGAGTATGCGAAGCACATGGGGATGACCGACATGTTCAAGGAACCAGAGTTGTTCTCAGCTGCTGGTAAGCGAATCAGAGTTTATGGGCTGCGGCTGGCCCCGTTCAACGTTGCGACAGTGTGCGGGACGCTGCTGAAAGTGGTGGCGCCGTTCGCGGTCGCAGATGTTCGGGGGCGGATGATTCCAGTTGGCGAGATTACGGGCCGAGGTTTTATGTTCCAGTTTGGCGATCAGGGCTACACGTCCAAGGATGGATTGACAGTTCGGTGGCCAAGAGTTGGACGCGGCTACTGCCTCACAGGGTTAGAGCGTTCAGGTTCGTTCAAGCTGTTGAAGTCGGTCGTGACCATCGGGGGCCACCTGGCGACGATGCCGAATCCGTCGGGGCATCCTACGGGAGGTGCCATTGAGAGTGGAGAAGAAGTTCAAGTTCCAGTGGAAGCGGCGGAAGCAGTTGCAATGCGAGCCCCAGAGCTGCCAAGTACAGAGGCGCAGGAGAAGCACTACCTTACCCATATGCCCTACGCGCCACGGCGCGACAGCTGCGTCATCGGACGAGGACAGGAGGAAGCGCATCGACGGCGACAAGGAGAAGCTTCATCACCCAATCCAGTTCTTGGCATGGACTACTACTTCTTGGCCTTGGAGGATGGCGACGCAGAGGCGGCTGCGATCTTGGTCATTCAGGACAGCGCCTCATCCTACACGGGAGCAGCTCAGGTACCAGCGTGGGGGCCGACTCCATATGCGGTGGCATTTCTCAGCAGCTACCTGGATGAGTTGCTATTATTCAGAGCGACGGCGAGCCGCCCATCGTTGCTCTTGGGAAGGCGTTAGTCAGGGGGCGCAGCAAGCAGTCCAAGGCTATTCTCACGCAGACTTCATTGCGGCAGTCAGCGCCAGGTTCACGGGCGAGCAACGGTTTGGCGGAGGCATCGGTGAAGGTCATCGAGGGCCTGGATCAGGACGCAAACACAGGCACATCAAAAGAAGTATCTCGTAGTGGTCAAGGGCGACTCCGCAATCTTGAGCTGGATCGCTAGGCAGGTCACTTTCGTCCAGACCAGGTTCCAATGCAAGCGTGACGGCAGGGCGGCCTACGAGGATCTGAAGACGGTGAAGGACAGGCCCCCTCTTCTGAACTTTGCCGAGGATGTCCTAGCGAAGAAGTCTGGCTTTCCAGACACTCGGCTCACTTCAGCATGGCATGCCGGAGCGTGGCTTGGGAGGTCTACGGATGCCGACGAGCACGTCGTGGGCGCGGCGCTGGGCGTCGCGAAGGCGAGGGCGGTGAAAAAGATGCCAGAGGAGTTGCAGTGGGACAAGGAGGCGTTCGACAAGATGGTGTTTCCAATGTGGTCACAGACGGACTTGAAGGACGTTCGCGACACAGCTGGCTGGGCACCTACCGAGGGGCGTCAGGCGCGCGAAGACGATCAAGCACTAGTTCGACGCGTTGGACGTCCTAGGGCTTATATTACGGCGTGTTTACAAACGCAGGCCGAGTTCAAGAGGTGACGGCTTGGTGGAACAGTGGTGGCACTACCAGCTCAAGCAGTAGCAGCAGCGAAGGCAGCTCCAGGACCGAGGGCAAGACCAGCGGCTGCTAGTCCTAAGCGCGAAGCAGGTGATCGAGAAGACGGCGGAGGAGGCAGACGTCCGCGACCACAGTCACCAAGATCAGGAGCCGCAGAGGAGGCTCAGAACCGCATTCGGCCATCGGCAACAGCATCCAGTTCGTCGGCGCCAGCAGCTCCGAGGGTTAGGCCCTGCGGCGAGCAATCTGCCGGCGGCGGAGAGAAGCGCGAAGCAGACCTGGAAGCTCAAGAAGCTGGCAGCGCTAAGCAAGCCAGGAAGGAGGACGTGGAGATGTTCATTCAGGTCGCGGAGGAGCTGAAGCCGCACGAGGAGGAGAACGACGAGCAGATGAACAAGCGCGCGATCATGGATCGCGAGTTCACGGAACAGGAGATCGCAGTTGCGAGGTACGCGGAGTTGAGCAGGTTAGATGAGTTCAAGTCAAAAGAGGACGTTTACAGAGTAGCGGTGGACGGATCTCTACCTTCAGCTGTTTGGGTCGACGAAGCCAGAAGTGAGGGGGTGAAGTCGAGGATCTGCGCGAGGCCGTTCAACCTGCCGAAGAATTCGAAGGATCT